CTGAACTCAAGAGACTCAAGGCTACCCGAAAGCGCAGGCCAGTTTCCTGAAGGAATGGGAATGGGAATGGGTGCAACAAAGCAATGAAAGAATGCAAGTGATTTGAGGTGGTTGAGTTGAAACAAATGTGGTCTAAATTCAACATATGGAGCACAGGCAAGAAAGTTGTCATCGACGGAACCAATGTTTAAGTCTGTGACATACCAGAATCCATCAAAAATATCACAAGAAATACCCTGTAAAACAAAACCAACTAAGATTAAGGTTTTAAAAACAACAAAAGTTGGTCAAGTTTGAAAGAATATAAAGTCAAGGTGGACTTTCAAAAGTCAAAGGCATGTATAGTTGTATAATCAGAGGTGGGGTACCTGAATAGGAGTCCAACCACAAGGATCAGGATAAAGATCTGAGCCATTCCACCATTCACCCACAAAACCCTGGATAGCAGAGTATAGAGCTTCTTTCTCTGTTTTCACCATTGGAGCTCCTCCTCCCACACCTTCATATTCACCATTTCCGCCATTGACGCACTTCCCAATCAAGCTCAGCATTACAATCATAACAATAACAAAATTTGCAGCACTTTTTCTGGTAAAAGCCATCATCAACGGTCTGTTTAATCCAAACAACAGAACAAAATCTTGAAAAATGAAACTTCCTGTTATAGAAACAGGGGAATCAATAGGATTTAAATTATCTTTATGTTCTTATCTGTAATCAAACAAAAAAAGTAATCACTTTTCTGAAACTTACAACTAGATTTTTGCCAAATTGGAACGAAAACAGAGATCAAGAAATGATGAAGATGATGATGGATTGAAGAAGAAATCGGAATGGGTTTGTTTTCTTTCTTGAGATTGAACCAAACTGAAGAAACCCAGAAAGATTATATCAAGGAAAAATCCAAAAAAGATTGGAATAATTAAAGAAATGAAGAACATAATGAGAAAAGTTGGAAGTGTCAGCTATGGTTTCCATAATGTTTGTAGAGGCAAGCTATTAAGGTAGAAGAGATAAAAAGGAAAATTGTAGTGTTGCAGAAAGGAAGCAGAAACAGCAGTAGTGTACATGGCACAAGATCTAACAGCTAATATTCACACTTTTCTATGCCATTCTCCAATAAATGCTTGATGGTATGGTTTACTCCTTTACAAGAGCTGAAATCAACAAACACATATCATTGTACACTTTTCACTGCATAACATACAAGTTAGAATAACAATATTGCTCTTGATTGAGTAACTATTGCTCTGGAAAAAGGAAGCAACCATTGCCACGGGTGACCCTGTAACTAAAGAGAGCTGAAGAGATGCGGCCTCCTTTTAACCGTAGAGATTGAAACATAACTAATTCATTAAATGTTTTGTTTTTGTGAGAGTAACAAAAGCAGTTATTTTGATCGACCAAATTCATCTTTTAATCAATTTTCTTTCATTTTTCTTCAAGAAAATCCACACCGTTGCAAATGTTCATAACGCAACTTGCGTATGGGGCATATGTTTTTTTGGGTTGGGTTGGGTTGGATTGGGGGTAGGGGG